CGATGGCAACAGGAGGAGACGGTCGGAATAACTACGGGGCGGAAAAATGACTAACGGTCCACGGTTCAAGTCGGTAACATTTAGCAAATTGACGTGAAAGTGTATCTGCCTCCAGAACACATTTATGCGTTCTTTACACAAGGCAAACGCCGTGAATGACATAATGGACGGGTCGCATCTGTAGTTTGTATGTTTCGATCTCCGAAACAAATGACAGTATTTAGGTTCAAAGAGGGTCGCGCCATAGCTCAAGCGGTTAGTCGCTGGCTTTCCACCGCTGCGGCCCGTGTACGATCTCGGGTCTTGTCAAGTGGGATTTGTGGTGGACAAAGTGGCGCTGGGGCAGATTTTCTCCTAGTACTTCGGTTTCCCCTGCCCATCTTCATTCCACAATTGCTCCACAGTCACCCTTACCTATCATCTGGGGCTGGTACAATAAGCCAGAAGTGGCCGCATTACAAGGGACTCTTTCATTTTGGATTTCCCTCTGGAATGGATAGTTCTCCTTTATTTTCACGATGATGCAAGAAATTAAAATGTTTTTTGAACAGATGAGCAGAAGAATGGAGAAGATTACAAAGCCGAAGATGGTTTGTATTTGCCATAAATCTGAGTTGCTGGAAGAGAAGTAGGTTTTAAACTTCACGAGGGTCTGTTCATTACCTCTTGGCATCTTGGTATGAATAGCATGTGACAACCTTGAAATATATGACTTTGAAATGACCTGGGAAGTAGACGGTTCCAATGCCCAGGAGACTGGGAACCGCAGTCATAATGACATTTCATTCTGTTGAGTGTATGACTTAGGGACCCGGGATAGCACAGTCAGTATAGCGACTGGCTACGGGCTGGAAAACCGAGAGGTCTGAGTTCGGGTCCCGGTAGGGTCAAGAATTTTCTCTTCACGTCGTCCAAACCGGTTCTGGGGAGCACCCAGCCTCCTGTCCAATGGGTACCGCGGGCTCTTTCCCCGGAGGTAAAGCGGCCGGGACGTGAAGCTGACCACTCAACTCCAACTAGTGCCGAGGTCAAGAAAATGTGGATCTATATATCCACTTCCCGATAAGTTTTCAGAGCTTAATGCTTAATTAGTTAATCACAGGAACAACTTTACCTTGTACCTTACCTTTGAGTGTATGAGTTGATGGAACTTCCGTCATGTGGAACTTTCACTCGATTCCGTAACTAACGGTGTCACATTTTGACTCAGGTTACCTGATCTCCCATCTAGGGCTTGGTCTTCTTTGGTAATTTCTATACAGTTAGGTTATGGTTAACTTGTATATGTGCTTAATTACGCACCACAGTATGAAGCCACATTGCGGGAGCGACGGTATAGCTTATTGTATTCAGCTTCACGATCCGGCCTTTTTTCTTGTCACAGGATCCCTCGATACTCATGCGATGGGAAACTGTGTACGCCTACAGTCAGAGAGAGATCCGGGAGGCAGTAACCACTAAGTATCTGGCTGAAACGGAAACTGTTTATTCATTTGTACGCAGACAATTTTTTTTTCTGTGGCGCTACAGCCCCAATTTGGGCCTAGGCCTACCTCCATGAAACTCTCCCTTTCACTTCGGTTTACTGGATCTTACACATTCGGTAGGACTCCTTGGGCGAGTGATCAGCTCGTCGCAAGGCCTCTATCTGTACACAAACCCAGAAAAACGCGCACAAACATCCATGCCCTGAGTGGGATTCGAACCCACGATCCCGGCTTCCGAGCGAGCGAAGACAGTGCATGCCTTAGACCGCTCGGCTACCGTGACCGGCACGCCGACAATTACAGACTGTAACAAGAGACTGATAATTTGGTCTGTTGTGGCAGTTACTCATATGTGACACTGAGATGGGCCATTCATGTAGCGTGTGTGGAAGAAACACGAAATTAGTTTTTATTCCTATTACAATCTGTGATAAAGCGCAAAGTTAGGCCCACAAATCTGTTAATGGGAGCGTACACTCTGTAGAGCGTATTGGCCGTCAAGATTGATGAGTTGTCCCTGTGCTTAACTAATTATGTATTACGCCATGAAGGCGTATGGGGGAGTAGAAGTGTAGATCCACATTTTCTTGACCTCGGCACTAGCTGGAGGTGAGTGGTCAGCTTCACGCCCCTGCCTCTTTAACCCGGTATAAAGAGCCAACCCTACCCATTTGATAGGAGGTTGGGTGGACCCCACAGCCGGTGTGGACGACCTGGAGGAGAGAAAATTCTTGACCCTTCCGGGACTCGAACTCCAACCCCTGGTTCGTCCTTCCCGTAGCCAGTTGCTATACCGACTGCTCTCTCCCGGCTCTTGTTCACCAGTATATGACACAATTATTTATTTTGACAGTTTTGTAGGCTAGTAATGAGGTATGTTCGGATTCATCAAATATTATGCCATCTACCGAGTAGAAAGTCGTGTCACTCATAGAAACTGGGTTTTGTGTCGATCACTATAAGAAAGCCATTATGTCCTCCGCGTCAGATAAAAACCTAGTGAAGACTTCTGAAATATCTCCAGAATATACATAATGACTCCGGGCTCCGCGTGCTTTCCTCTCCAGTGGACCAGGGGCTTCTTATCTGGAGGTTAAGTGATCACAGTGGGGCCGGTCACTGCCTTTCATTTTTTGCACGTTCATTTACGACCCTGTCGCTAGCTCGATTTAAAGCGTCTGGTTCATTAATATGAATTTGAAAGGATTTGTAAGGAACGGTCGTGGCCCTATCCCGGTATTTGCCGGGGGGGGGGGGGGTCTCAGTGGGGATAGGTTATCAAGCCGTCAGTTATTGACTGTTAAGACCATGAAGTATGGCAGCCAAATTTATATCGTCTACCGTCTGCCCAATCCTCGCGTTTGGGTGGCGTGTCAGAACCGCACAACAAAAAGGAGAGACTACTCGTCAGAAAGAGAGAAAGCACGTAAAATGTAAATCTGAAAATAAGGTCAGACATGCTGCTATTCAGTTTTGTTGATAGCAGGGGGTCCCGCGTTGCCTAGCAACGGGATCGATTCCCGCTCCTTCACACAGCTGCGAGAGGTTGTAGTAGTTGCCGTCGGAATTCGAGACGAATTTAAAGAAGCATTTGAGCTGACGCTACACGTGTTTCTTGTTGAAATCAAACCTACAGGACACGTGTCCTTTTCATGATAAAAGGAAATGTTAATTTGTGGGTTTCCACTCCCAGTCAGTTATTTACCTAACTAATGTGTTCAGCGGTGCATACTCTCACATTCATTCATTCATGGAACTGAACCCTTCTTGAGAAGCTGCCAATTCTGCAGCTACTCAAGAACTTCCCAGAATTTTATGGAATCCGAAGGTTCATTACCATATCCACAAGAGCCCTCCACTGCTCTCTTACATGAGCCAGATCAATCCAAACCATGCTATCCCATCTCTCTAAGATCCATTTTAATATTGTTCACCAACCTTCGTCTTGGTCTTCCTAGTGTCTCTTTCCTTCCGGCTTTCCCACCAGTATCCTATACGCATTCGTCTTCTTCCCCATTCGTGCTATAGTCCATGCCCATTGCAACCTCATTGATCTGATCATTCTAATTATACTTGGCGAAACGTACAAGTTATCAAGCTAATAAGCTAATATACAGCAGACGAGAAGACAGAAGGTTGTGGACTGAATGGTAAGCAAGCATTACCTGACTTCAGTCTACTCCTAATTTCCTCCTGAATCAGGTTTTGATTTGTTATCATTGTTCCCAAATATCTGAATTGTGCCACATTTAAAAGCATCTGTTACCTATATGTCATGATATTGCCTTGCATTTTGGTGACGAGACAGCAACATATACTTAGTTTTCTCTGTGTTTACTTCAAGACCAATCTCCTTACTAGCGTCAATTAAAGTTTGTGTGTTTTTATGGCATCTACATTATCACTCAGTACTCTTCATATTATGTTTCTCTCCTCTTCAACTGTGGAGCATAGGCGTGATTTATCAGTTTCATTTTACAGACGGTAGGACTCCTTGGACGGGTGGTCAGCTCGTCGCAAAGTCTCTACCCAGGCATATGACAACACAAACACACACCAGACATCCATACCCTGAGTGGGATTCGAACCCACGATCCCGGCTTCCGAGCAACGGAAGACAGTACATGCCCCAGAGCGCTCGGCTACCATGACCAGCATTCTTCATATGCCATGTTTAAAATCAAGACTATAAAGGAGCATTGTTGCTGTGGCATTACGAATACATTTACTGCAAAACGTGCACATAACAGATTGCGGTGATCCCACGTTTTCTGTTTCTTGTGGCAAGGGTACTTACTACAACGTAACAAACAATTTCACTGTATGTGCTTTCCCCATAGACGTGTATTTCAGCGTATGTTTTCGAAATCACAGGTTTCATATTTGTGTTGCTAAGAAGTGTAAACTTTCAGTACCCTTTCTGCTTTTTCTTTTAGTCTCTTGGGGTGGGGTGAGACTGAGCCCATTTGGCACGCCGGCCAGTGTTTGGCCTGCTATACCAGCCCCGGATGATAGATGGTAATGAATGTGGAGCAGTCGATGAAATGATAATTTGCAGGGGAAACCGAAGTACTCGGAGAAAACCTGCCCCCGCGCCACTTTCTCCACCACAAATCTCACATGACCTAACCTGGGCTCGAACCCCAGCCGCCGCGGTGGGAAGCCAGCGAATAACCCCCTGAGTTGTATCACGGCCTTCTGGTTTTTTTACGTCGGAGCTTAATTCTTCCCCACTTACGGCTGCCATCTGCGTTCTTATTTGAGAACAACAGTACGTAAATAGAAGACAGAAAATATATTCAAGTACTTTTTTCCGTTACAGTCCTTTACCAGTCCGTTAATTTTCTGTATATTCTCAGGTTCGGAGACTTCTGAAAAATAAAATTTAAGGCAGTTTTCATTTCAGACCCGATTTACTGTGCGTGATTGAATCAGGTTGAATTCCTAAAGTGGGGAAGAGAATGTTGAGTCACACGGTGCACATTGCTTATCCAGACACCTGACGTGTTGCAGGCCTGCAGGCGGAGCTGTTCTACGTCAGGGAGGGGGTCATTAATGAGTACGCCCTCAACTTCGTGGTTCCGGTTCCGGCGCACATCAACGACCTTCACTTCACGTGGCAGAGCCTAGCTGGTCGACCGGTAAGTACGTCTGATACTCCACTCCTCATCACCACTGGATCCTGGTGGTAAACATTCGTTTACCCATCCTCTTCTACATTTGTCACGACCTTTTTCATATAGATTTTGTGCAGAAAATAACATGCCAATCACAGTTGTTGCGCCATCGAATGTGATGTCTTCCAATATTATATTTCAGCATCCTGTTACACTCACACAATATATATGGACAAATACCGTCTTAAGTGCAACAATTTTATTGTAGTTTTTTCTTCCTTTTCCTCCTCCACACTACATGTTTCGGCCCTAAATGGCCATCATCAGGTGTGTATCACTCACGTAACTGTTACACTGCTTGTTAAAAATGTAAAAATCTCAGTCTTTCTAATTGTATAAAATCTTTTTTAATCTACACGCGTCGATTTGATTTTTAAATTAGCACCTTTTAATTAGCTAATTCAAGTTAAAATGTCTATAAGATCTTTGTTCTCTTTCTTTTTCAAATTAAAATTTTTCAGGGTACATGCCCTATATCTACGGTGCTGCAGCGGCCACTTCTTGTTTTTATCGCTGTTCATGTGTTGTTCAGTGTAGGCGCTTTCTGTGTGTGTCGCTGCTTATCTTTAATACGTGTGCTGTCTGGTGCTAATTTAAATTAGCTAATTAAAAAGTGCTAATTTAAAAATCAAATCGACGCGTGTAGATTAACAAAGATTTTATACANCTTTTAATTAGCTAATTCAAGTTAAAATGTCTATAAGATCTTTGTTCTCTTTCTTTTTCAAATTAAAATTTTTCAGGGTACATGCCCTATATCTACGGTGCTGCAGCGGCCACTTCTTGTTTTTATCGCTGTTCATGTGTTGTCTGTAATATACAAATATTTGTGTTANATATATATGATGTCTTCCACCGCACAAACGCTGAGATCCAGGTTTCTGATCATACGTGACGCGTGTAGAGATGTGTTGTCTTGTGTAGGCAGACGTCATGAAACCACCGATGCTCTGTCCGAGGAGTGCTAGTGGGGTGGGACTAAGCCCCTTGTACTGCGGCCACTTCTGGCCTATTGTACCAGCCCCTGATGATAGGTGAGGGTGACTGTGGAGCAATTGGTGGAATGAAGATTGGCAAGGAAAGCCGAAGTACTTGGAGAAAACCTGCCCCAGCGTCACTTTGTCCACCACAAATCCCACTTGACCAGACCCGGGGTCGAACCTGGGCTGCCGCGGTGGGAAGACATCCATTATCACTACAGGCTGTTCTTNTTAACGTGCTCCTATATTTCCATAGTGGTTGTTTTCTTCCAAGTTTCTGTCTCCTTCTCAATAGGGTGCATCCTCTTGTGTGTTACAAATTGTGTTGAATCGCATCTAATTTTTCAATATGGACCCTTATTGAAGAATTAGATGCAATTCAGCACCTGAGACTTGTATCATTGTACGCCTGATGATGACCCAGTCGAAAGATGTAGCGTCAATAAAAACAAATGTTGATACAATAGTGTCTGCTTTGTTCTTTAATTGCAGAATATTGTTGTGTAGACTGCATACTTTTGTATACATTTATAGACTCTACACTGTATCCTTTGCATTCACTGGCACGTTTAAATCTCGTACAAACCTGCACATTGTTAGGTTACAGGAATTGCTTAACTCACACAAACACTGCAGACATTTTATGTGCCTACTAACGTGCCCGGCATTCGTGAGGTTTTCTTTTGTTTCACATGAACGTGAGGTATACTTACATGTATATATGACAACACGGCCCTTGTAATGTCTGTTAGCACCTTGTAATTTGTGCTAGATGTAAAAGGAATAACAACGCGTCTGTCACGTAGCAGTTGTAGGTAAGTGGCGTGAAATTGACTTCGGCCTGGATCTGGTCCCTGCTCCAAACAAACTTGCTGCGGTCACATTTCTTTCTGGTCGACTGATCGAACTGTCCACGAGAAACAAGAGTAGAAATACGCTCTGCTTTTTATTTTACAAATGCATTCTTTACGATTCTGGATGCGGCTTATTGGCCTTGCCACCCATTTATTACAGTCAGAACTATTGTTACACTTCTACAGTGACTACAGAAACGCTGCGTCGTTTATTTTTCCTTCTATTATCTTTATTATTATTGGAGGGGGTGGGTTTCCCCATGCACCGCGACTAATAGTCTGTTGTACGTCCCCCTTTGATATTCTATCAGTCGCCATACCCTACCGGTATTGGTGCGTGCTATCAGCCCCGTTCAGCCAACGAGGTTGGCCCTCTGTACCTCGATACTTCCCCCATTTACCAGAGGCATTGGAGACTACTTGGGCGGGAAACTTGCCTAATTTTGCTTAGAGGTCTCCTAGAGACATGATATTTTACGTGCCGTAAATCTACTTGTTTCCTGAATTTTTCCGCCCTTGAAAATTCTACGACCTCCGCCGGGTTTGAACTCGCTTACCTTGAGTAATGAGGTGGGAACGTTACCCCTAGACTACGGAGGCCGCTTTTTTTTTCCTTCTAACATTACATTTTCCAAAGTAACTAATAATTCTTTAGCACCACCTGAAAGCTCAGCACTATTAACTCTGAAGTCCGCTATTGAACGCGACCCTGAGTCGGTTACATTCACCTCCAATCTTCATAGCCCCCACCCCCCAAATGCATCTTTACGTTTTCGTATTATACCTTTCTCGGGCTTCCATTTTGATCGTTTCTTCCCAATTCTGTATGCATTTATTGCCTTTCCCAACGAAACGACATGTCCAGCTCACACTAGCGGACTGATACGGACAAACATTATTAAATTCGATTGCACTTTCTGGAATGTGACGCCGCGTGACTTGGTAGATGTTTGTCGGTGTTTCGGAATAACGTACTGCCACCATCGGTTTACGCCGAAGATGGTGACGTAGGTAAACATGTACCAAACTACACAGTGTCACACTCCAGAAAATAGAAATTTTCAACAGTGACCGCCGTAAGAACCGCATGTCATAGATATTAGTTCGCTCGAGCAGTTTCAGTAGTAACAGTATCACACTTTGTGCGCCTGAGGAAAATAACATGTGAAAATATTGTTTAGATGCAGTAATGAAACGGCAAAAGACAAACAACGAGGATGTTAGTAATTTATGTAATTAACTGTTAAGAGTGATTACATCTTCAAACTTCAAGTGGACGGGACGCGTGACGAGAAATCGAAATACGGGTTATAACAGTTGAGGCACTATGAATATGTGAAACGTGTAGAATGGTTGTTAAGGGTGCAAGGGATTGAGTCTGTTTAATTACCCCCGCTTTCTCAGCTGCATGGACTGTGCAGCGCTAAGTGGTAGGATGACTGTGGAAGTTTTATTAGAAAGAAGTATAAGAAAGCAGTAATAGCCTACTTCAAGGGGTTTCCCTCGAGGAACTGAGGGCACTGCGAAAAATCTCAGTCAGGGTATCCGGTCTTGAACTCAGAACTTTCCGATTGTGAAATACAACTTAAACTTTTGACCAATATACATGATAATAGTTTATGAAGATGTGAAATGGAGTTAGATTCTTCAAGATGGTGCCGATTTCGTTGTTGTATATTGACGTTTATGGGGAATTTCCTGACTAGTTGAGAGGCCATCAGCTGCTTCTAAACTGCAGCGAGCAGAATGCCCCCAAGTTGGCCTCCTTGACATTCTGCTGCAAAGAAAGTACGTGCACTGGAGCCTGCGGGTGTTGACAGATATTCTAGCTTGCTGACTGATCTGAGTTGGCGTGCTGTTCCTCGAACCTTATAATTAAAGGCTGAGACATTAAATTGAAATAGGCCCCAACCCCTTTGCGTGTTGCTAGTGGCATCCAAGTATACCGGAATTCTGAGATGTGTCCAGGTGTGGAGCGACTTTTGGGATTAAAATGTAGGTACGAACAGGCCCGCACATGGAAGAATAGTTCACAAATTGTGCTAATGGCGGTGAGACCTTTCTCAGCCCTGTTTTGTTATGTAATTGGCCTGTTCGTGTATTTCTTTAATTGTTTCGGACACAGTACTTGTTGTATCATTGTGTGCTACACGTTTCCAGATAACCCATTCCTCAAGTTAACTTTCTTCTTTTACTATGAACACATATTACTAGTTCCTGAAAAGTTTGAAATCGTTTGGCGTATTTTCTGTAGTCGCCAATCACAGTAGCCGGGCGGTCTAAGACATGAACTGCCTTCGCTCTCCCGAACGCTGGGATCATGAGTTCGAATCCCACTTGAGGCATGGATGTCTGTGTTTGTGCTGTCCTGTGTGCACGTAGCGGCCTTGCGACAGGCTGATCCCCCGTCCAAAGAGTCCTACTGACTGTAAAATATCAAGAAACTGAAAAAGCGGTCAAGGCCCAACAACGGGCTGTAGTGCCATAGATGGGTGGGTAGGTAGGTAGGTAGGTAGGTAAGTAAGTCAATAGGCTTAGGCCTAAATCATATGAATAGTATAAGTATGTATGCTTGTAATTTGTGCATACATTAAAACGCACACAAAAATTCAGTGACGCTTCGGTTGGAGTACCGTAAGATATCGAAATACATAAATTCTCATGGCCGCACCATGAAAATATTTAACGAATATGATATTATGTGTTAAATAACGTACGTAGTCTGCATGGCAACGTTTCACACCTGAACTTATCTTGCAGTTTGCCACATTGAAACAGAATACGCTGTCCTTTTCCAGAGATTAATTCTGACATCAGAACAATTGTAGTTGAGTCTGTGTAGATTTGTAGACTTTATTGACACGTCATATTGCCATGCCATTGTAAGGAAGGCGCAGACCACAAGTGATTACGCCCCTCGGGGCCTTCCACAATGTAAGTCTATCATTTGAAGCGTATAGTACACACAAGGCCAAAAAGAAGGAAGAAGGGCACTGTTCCATGCAGCATTGATGCCTACCCGCTGGCGGTCGTGTTGGGGATGACAGCCTCTTCACGCTCCCGTGGAGGACATAACCAGGGGTACTGCATCTTTCCAACTTCGAGATTAGCCCAGAAGCCGCCACATTCG